AGATCTTTTCTGATCTCCAGGCGGCAGGCCAACCCGTTTATATCCGCAGCATTCGGCGGCAGCCTCGAGCTTTTTATTTCTTTCCCTCCCTAAATCGTGTTCTCTTTCATTTTCTGTGTCTTAAACCTTTTGAACGACGGTATACGGTATAAGTTTTAAGTATTTATCGAAATGGCTAAATATACTGCATTTTTTGTATTTGAGGAAATTTCCATGGCATATACTCAAGATATGCCTCCTCCTGGAGGATATGCAAGTATATTTTACCAAAGAACCTTCACGAAGGTTGGACTAAAATGTAAGTATGGCATTGTCTGGAATGAACTGCATGTTTTGGCTTTACTCGTTTTTAGGGTGGAAGGTCGTGCTTTATGGCGGAGGTCTTTGGTTGTCGGGCCTGGCTGGTCATAGAGCATTTATGCGTCAGAGACGGTAAGACGATTTCCGTGTTTGTATTGTTGTTATTTTTCGAGGTTGGAAGTACGTCCGTTCGTGGAAGTATAAAAGATCCATTAAAAACGTGAATTAGTGGAATTCAGATTCAACCCACAGAATTTCAGTGACCAAAGTCTCAGCGGAGTTCCACTAATTCATGTTTTTAATGGATCTTTTTATTTGAAGTTTTCGGAAAATCATTGAGTTATAGGTTCTGTTACAATAACTTTAAGGACGCTGTTTTACATTTGAAGCCGCTCATTGCGTGCAGCTCTGCCATAAATGAGTATCATGCTGTAGAATGGCTGATGAGATAGAAGCAGCGATTTTTCTACTTTTCAGAGTGTTTTCGACGTGTTTTTTTTGTATTGCAGCTGGGTATCATATTCATCAGTTGATTTCTGAAACTCAGTTCACTTCTGTGTCTGCTTCAATAAATTGGCACACTGGCCAGTTTAGTTTGGCTGAAACTCCGGCAGTTCTAGTAAGGACTATCATCCCTCTGATTGGTTTATCTAGAAGAATTGCGATGCGAATTATATATTAATCAGTCATGTCGTATATTTTTCAATGGATGGACGGTGTGATGCATTATTCCACTGTAAATCTTTCTGTCTTGTGCAATTTTCTTGACGTGAATGATAATGAGTTGTGTGCCATGTGACTATTCAACTTTAATTTAGTCTTCATCGTGTCCATGTTTTGTATTACTGTTTTAACTGGCAATCGTCCTTTCACTACAAACACTATTTTTCGCTAATGGACGTTTTTTTCAAAAGTTGACTTTGAGCGCGAGCTTCGGCAGGAGATCCGAATCATTCGTCGATAATGCCTTGTTTCGAACGTTTCACTGTTTAGCTTCTGCATCCATAGCATGCCGATGGCTGAGTCTTTTCAGCCAGGAGGAAAAACGCTAGTCGCAAGTGTTAACAGCAAAATTATCAACTTTAGCAAATGTTTGAATCTGCTACTTTCAGTTTAAAACGTAAAATACCAGCACCTTTTCTTCGAAGTCAATTCATTTGCTTAACCTTTGTTATTTCGTAATTGTGAATCACGCAGTTTCCTTTTAGAACTAATTTGTTGGAAGACAACGATGTGCGTGTTGCTCTCCAGCCGTTCCTCTTCGCTGAAAGAGACAGACTGTAAAAAGTTTCCTCTACTCTGCAATGTATGATTTTTTTAATTAGATGGCTGAAGCTGATGCGTAGAAATCGCGATATTGAGAATGAGGTGATGAAGGATGTGCCTGGCTGGAAGACAGGAACGTGGTACGGAGAACCGGTTTATTTCACCTTGCCGAAGGACAAATGGTGGGACCCTGAGATACCTGAACCATACGTTCACCTGCGTTGGCGCGATATTCAGAAGCACTTAAACTTTCGTGAACACGATGAATATGCCGGTCCTCACTGGTGGGACAAATACATGCCGGACATCGTCAATGACTGGATTAGATGATCGGTACAGTTTCCAGTTCGTTCGTGTTGTCTGTTATTACCAAATTAGATTTCGATTAGTTGCAGCTCTTGATGAAATTTTTTGCTGATATCGGATCATATGCTTTGCCCTGAATTCGAGTAAATTTGATTTTGCCAATCATTACACTTTTCATCTAGTTGCTTGGATCGTTCATTAATTTCTGTATCGTAACAAACATTCGGTTGCTCACGCCCTTGCTACCCTGCGGTTTCGTGTTTGTGCGAATTTGACGGCATTGCGGGGTGCGTTTCTTGCTCCACTACTTTTATTCATCACTACACGGTTGTAGACGAATGTCTTATTTAGTGACACTGCTCGCCTGGACATCTATGATGCCAAAAACAAAACATGCTGCGGTTGTAACAGCGTTGAACTTCTAACACAGTATCTGCTATTGACGAGCGGTCAGACGCAACTGTTAACCTCATATGGTAAAAAGGTACCTATCAGTGATGCAAGTCATCAAAAGGATACCGTCAGTGCTTAAGCAACGCTTGAAATTGGTAAAATTGATCAGCCCTTGCGTAACTGAAGATCATTAAAGCAAGGCGTTTGGAAAGGAAATGCCAGCAGAATCAAGCATTTTTGTCATTTTATTGTTGTGACCGTTTTGTAATTTTTTGATTCGTGTTATACTAAAGTACCTAACCAACGGCTATTTCGTAAAATGCAGATAACCACGTCATCGCAACACTTTTTGTTGCGTTGTCATTGCCTTTAACTGCTTATGATTTGTGAAGTGCGTCTGTCTAGAGATAGCGAAATTTCTGGTCACCAACAGTGTATTCCTCTGCGGATATCGCGCAACATCACGGCAACAAACCGCCAATCTTAGCTTTGAAGAAGGTCGGTGAAGTAAGGGCTGATACGTTGGTATTGTTATATAACGCGATAGAACAAGTTTCCTGCGTTGCGTCACTCAGCAAAAAGTCCCTCTTCTTGCGGTTATACGTAGTTTGTATATCCACTCTATAGGATTATTCCCTGAATGTTATAGTAATAGGCTGTTTATTAAAATATTTGTGCATTTATACTTTGATGCTGTA